TCTGGCATTGCTGTATCAAAATCATGAAATACTTCTGGTAATGTTATAGCTGTTACAGCAGCTTCTCTATGTTCTTCCGGTAAATCTACCATACCAGGCCTAAAGGCCATCTTTATTTTAACAAAAGCTTCATTACAGTCAGCTAAGAGATATTTAGCCTTTCTTGAATATATGCGTACTACACCCAATAATAAATGACCAGATGTTCTTAAAGCCATTTTTACCTATATCAATTAAATAAAAAAAAAAAGAAATTGTTATATTTAATGTAGTCTATTAAAATAAGTTTATCAATAAATTTATTAAAATATATTCTATTTTAAAAGATATTATATAATCTTGAAAAATATAAAAATATAAATTATTATAAATCAAAAATAACAATAAAAATGTTATAAATTTGAATTTATACATATGAATAAAAATAATAGATTAATTAAAATAGATTTATTTTACAAATACCTTTGGCTGTAATATACCATCCACAGATTTTTCAATATTTGTTTCAAATACATGAGCTTTTGTCAATTTTTTGTCCCAATGAGCAGCTAACCAAATACGCGCTAATGGGCCTTTTTTGGCCAATACGAAATGTGCATAAAACATTTTTAATTTATGTTATATGCACTTCTACAAATGAAGTAATATCATATTAATAAAATTTATTAAAAAAGTTTCATATTGTTTGTAAACACAAAGCCTAACAGAATTATTTCGTTAATATGAATTTTCGTTAGCAACATAATTATCACCTTATAATGATAAAATCAATTGATGTGTCAATTGATGTATAAAATTAGCATTTTTAACATTTATAAATACTCAAATTGAGTCGTGGGACTCGAACAAATAATAATCATGTAATTTTTCTTAATTTACTAAAATATCAACATCTTTGCACAAGATGGCGTTTCTATCTACAATTTTGGCGGTTACGCGTAAGTATGTTGTACACGTAGTTATTTTATTTATTTCCACATAAGATGTATTACGATGACGTTATCGATATCTTAAATTATTATATTTTATATAAACTATCATATGTAATTATTATATTATAAAATCGTTAGCACATACGGTATGTTTCTTTTCAGCGCGTCTTCACAAGAACCTGCAACTAATTTCACTGAACGTTCCAAAACTTATTCTACTGATGATAGATATTTGCATTCGTAAATCTACAAAAGTTTGTTCTTTGAAATCTATATTTATATTTTGATAGAAATTAAATATCTATCAAATATTTCAATAATTGGATAATTATCTTTGCAGTTTTTTATAAAATATAGATATACTAATATTGAAAAATAGATTAATAAAAAAATTATATTATACCATTATTTTGTTAATATTAAAAAATTTATTAAAATTTTAATTTTTACCAATAGCATTGAGAATTTTAAATTATTTTTTTAAAAATATTTGTTTGTTGTAAAATATAATTTATAAATATTAATGCTTATATTTAATTTATTTAAAAATATAATAAACATTATTTGAATAAAGTTAAATTTAAAAAAATATGGAATATATTTTAAAAAAAATCATTATTTTATCATAAGTATATTATTATAATTTATGTGATTACAAAGTATCAAATATTTTGAATAGTAATAACAATAACTTTTAATCATAATTTAAAATAAAAATTTTTGCTTTATAATTTGATATTTTAAAAATTCGCTTTAAGAAAAATAGTATTATTGTATAAAGATCAGTAGTGAGGTTGATTATTAACCAAATAATTAATAAAATTTGATAATTTAATCAATTTTTTTCGATTATTTTTTAAATATATATATATATATATAAGTTTTAATTTATTAAAATAAATTTTAATAAAATTTCTGTTTAAATAATTTTGTTTTTTTTTAAATCAAAGATAAAACACAATTTAAGTTACAGAGATGTATAGTTCCTTTCTTGTTATATTAGGAAATCAATAAAATGGGAAAAATATATTCTCTACTTTTACGACCAATTCGTACATTTAATATTGAAAATAATGCACAACGAATTATTTCAAAAGATAAACCAGTGCGTGCTCCTTTATATTCGTCAGTAGAGCAACAAAAGAAGCTCGTAGATAAATGTATGTTGTTTCTTAATGTTTTTACTTCAATTTTTAATTTTAATTTTTTATTTTTTAAATAAATATTCTTATCAAAAAAGAATTCTTATTCAAAAAGAAAATAAATCATTAAAAATTATAGAATGTATATTATATTAACATTCTATGTTTCAATTAAAATTTAATATCAATTATATTATTTATTATATATGATTTTAAATAAAAATTAAATCTTAATTATTTAAGATTTGATTTATTTTCTATTTAAATATTTTACTTTTTAAAAATTTGATTATTATTATATAATATTAATTTATTTGTAAAAATTTCTTTTTATTTTAGTAAAACCTGATTTTATGGAAATTCATTATAAGAAGGATTCTGAATTAGATGACCGTTTAAAAAATGTTTTTGTTAAATCAAAAGATCTACAGGTATTTTATTTGAAAATGTTATATCATGATATAATTATATACTTATAAAAATATCAATAAAAAACAATTTTCTTTTTATTTTAAGGATATACCAAAACAAAATATATCCAAATTACAAGATAGAAGTCAACGTTCTTCAGAAGACTATGATTTTAAAACTTATGAGGGTAAATGTAATATAAAACAAGTTATGCATTTCATGAATATGCACTATGAAAATCCTATAGAATATTCTGTAGAAAAAATATCTCAACAATATAAACTAGATAAACAAATAATAGGTAAATATATTATTATTATATAAGATGTATTATTCTTATTTTTAATTTTAATTTTTTATTTTTTATTTTAAACATGTGTTTAAAAATCATGATATATTGTTATTATAAAAGTAATGTAATTTATGAATATATTATAATTTATTTTGAAGTGCTTGTAAACAAAGTGTTTTTTATTTGAATTTAAAAATATATCTATTTTAATTAACTATATAATGTTAATTTGTTTCAGAAAATATTTTAACATATTTTAAAATTTTACATTGTGTAGCAGATGCTGAACAATTGAAATTAAATGATGGTAAGAAAAAATAACAATTTTATTTTATAATAAAATTTAAATAAACTTATAACCATGTAGATAGTATAAATAAATATTAATTCATTAAAAATATACTTATTTTCATTTTATTTTATCTCATTTAATATATAATGATAAAGTTTAATAAAAATATAATTATTATTTCAATATATAATTATCTTCTTTATATTATATTATTTTATTTTAATTATTATATATAAATTCTTTAATACAAAAACAGAGATAAAAAAAAAAGAAATATTAAAAATAAGCAATAATGAAAATATTTTAATTTTTTTCTTTTTTACAGAAAATTAAAATTATTTCTAAAAAATTCTTTATTTATTAATGAATAAAATATATGCTAATATTTTTGTTCTTTACATATATAAGTTATATTGGCAAAATGTAATTCTATAAATATTTTTTAATTTATATTTGTATGCTAGATTTTTTATGCATAAAAGATTTTTTTAATTCTTGATAATACTATACAAACAAGAATAGGTTTAGAATAGATTTAATATATTACAATTTTTTTCTCATATCTCTGAAATATCTAATATTTTTTTATATTAAAAATTATATTAAAAATTATATTAAAAATTCAATATTTTTATATTAGAGATTAAGACAAATACATTGTAATTTTGAAAAAGAAATAAAAAATATTCGATTAATATTTTGTACCTTTAAATATTTTGTATCTTTAAAAAGTGAAAAAAAAGTTAAAAATTTTATTATGCAATCAACGTTATCTCTAGAATGTTGTAGAAAAATAAATGAGAGTAAATAATGAAAAAAAAGATAGAATAAGAATTAATAGATAATGCCATCTTGAGTATAAAAGATATTTTTCTGTCAAAATGTATTTTCAAAATTATTCAAAAGATGGCGCTTAAATCTTATTCTATCTCATCATAAAAAATGTCTTTAATATTATTATTTAATAAAAAGATGGCACTATAATTTAATTCTCATTTTATTTCTATTTTTGTTGTACTATTTACTTTCCTTATTTATATATGTTTGATGACGGAATCCTAAAGATGGCGCTAATTGTACAATTTTTGTTTTATTCCCTATCTTGCTCTTATTATTTGCTCTTCTCTTTTTTTTTAGAAAAATAGCTCCGATATCTGATTAATTTTATTATTTTTCTTACCTAAATATAATGATTAAAAGTCTTAATAGAATTTCGATGCAATTTTTAAATAGATTTAATATTTATCTATTTATATATTTTAAATATCTATTTATCTATTTATCTATTTATATATTTTAAATAGATATTTTAGAACATACAATATAATAGGATATAAAGTCCCATTAAATCCTATATTTTTATGATAATATTATTTTATTTTTGTGATAATATCTCATTCTAATCAATGATTTTATAATCTAATTTGGAATTTAATGATTGCAAAAAAAAACTTGAATCTAGAATTGGCAGTAAGGTATAAAAAATTAATTTTAACATATATTAAATATAGTTAATAAAACAATTTTTGTTTTTTATATAAACCATTTTTAAACCCTATATATATACATATATGATTTGTTCATTATTCATTTGAATCTTAATTAACTCCATACATCTGGAAGATCTGAAATACAAAAAATTTTCAAATTTTCTTTCATCCTGGATCTAAAACTTCATATAAATTTTCTTTTCATATAATATACTTACTGAATAAGATGTGATATATAGAAATAAGATAAATTAATACGTGGAATTTTTTGAATATAGATGGTGTTGAATGTGAATAATTGAAAAACAATTCTTCGTCAATTCGTCTTATTTCTGGAATGGTTGCAGTTTTTTTCATCATCCAATCGAAAGCATCCATTCTTAATCTTTTTTTTAATTCTGCACCTATTTCATCTCTAATTCGACGATTATAATTATTCAGCCATCGTATCTATACAAATATTGAAATATATTATTGAAGAAAAATATAAAATTATTATTCAATAAATCTTCTAAATTATTACATTTAAATTTTCCATTTTTTTTTCTTTCTTTCTTTTTTTTTTAAGAAATAAATATTATTGCAAATTTATCTTTTTTGAGAGAAGAATTTCTTTAATTTTTATGATTTATTTATAATAAACTTTTAATACATTTATTAACAAAAAATTAACTGAAAATAATCAAGATATATGTACAATTGTAAGAACAGAATCGAATCAAAAACATTATTAATTATGCAATAAATAATTCGAATATTTTAATTTTATCATGATAAAATACTGATTGAATGCTAGATGTTTATAAAAATACTCACATGAGACGGATTTAACATATTATTATCAATCAATTTTGGTTCATATGGAACTAACGTAACATCTCTGAATTTCAAAAAAATTTCTGAGCCTTTCTAAAAAAAAAAAAAAAAAAAAA